CTTTTAACAAAATATGTGTCCATAAATTAATTGATATCTACTATATATAGCCGCGGGAGGGTTCCTTTTGCAAACCACCGGAGGGAGTATTACAGAGGGCATATGGAATTTCCATGAAATGGGTCTTAATATGACGCGCACATTTCTAGAAGAAAGCAATGTACAAGCGCTAATTGCTAGTAATCAGACCTTCGATGCTGTTATTTGTGAAATATTTCTCGCTGAAGCGCTATATGGGCTAAGTGAACATTACAATGTGCCACTAATAGGTTTAGGCACCTTTGGCGCACACCCCTGGAACACAGATATGGTAGATATTCTAACGAGAAAACATATTATTATAATACAAATTAAATATTTTATTTATTTTTTGTTTAATAAAAAAGGTCGGTTCACCCAGCCCCCCTTCATACGTGGCAAGCGCTATGTTGCCATTCAATGATCGCATGACGCTGTGGCAACGTGTGGGCAACTTTGCATATAATATATTCGAACGTTTGTTGCTCGATCTATATTATTTGCCGAAACAAGCAGCGATTTATAAGGAATTCTTTCCGCACAATAAGCGTGATATGTACGAGGTGCGTCGCAACGCTGCATTAGTGCTGCTCAATCAGCATGTGTCGCTCAGTTTTCCACGTCCATATGTCCATAATCAGATCGAAGTTGGAGGCATGCACATTAATCGAAAACGCTCACCACTACCTGCCGATTTGGAACGATTTATCAATGAATCGAAACATGGAGTCATCTATTTCTCAATGGGTTCCAACCTGCGTAGCAAATTTTTGCCTTTGGAAAAACGTCAGGCTATACTTGAAACATTCCGTGGGTTAAAACAGCGTATACTATGGAAATTCGAAGATCCGCAACTCGAGGGCAAGCCGGATAATGTATATATAAGTGAATGGTTTCCACAGGACGATATTTTGGCACACCCGAATGTGAAAATCTTCATTACACATGGCGGTTTACTCAGCACCACAGAGTCCATTTATCATGGGAAACCTTTTATTGGCATACCGATCTTCGGCGATCAGTTTCTCAATATGAATCGTGCCGAAGCTGGCGGTTATGGCATAAGTGTGGATTACACTAATTTCACGAAAGAGAAATTCAAAGTCGCTATTGAACGTATGTTGAATGATGACAGTTATGCGAAGCGTTTGGCGGCTATTTCAGCGATTTATCGCGATCAACCAATAAATCCGTTGGACTTGGCTGCCTATTGGGTAGAATATGTGGTGAGACATAAGGGAGCCAAGCACTTACATTGCGCCGGACAGGATTTGAGTTTCATACAATATCATAGTATAGATAGCATGCTGATCTTATTTGGTGGTCTGGCTTTAGCAATTCTGCTGACCATGTTGCTGATACGTTTAATATGGGGTTGGTTGCAATTTGCGCTTGCGCGAAAGGATATAAAGGAGAAGACACATTAAAGTGTGAGAATTATTTTAAATTATTGCAATTAATGTAATAGTGAAAACTTGTATTATATAATTCTTATGTTATAAAAATTATCCGTTTATAATTGTGTAGTTGCTTTGAAAGATAATAACTATATGCAATGGTTTAATCTAAATAAAAAATTGTTTGTTTCTTGGCGGTACTATTATGTAACATAGATATTGTAATGATCGTCAATTGTGGGCAACTGTCGCAAACAGGTGTTATAGTGCGTTTCATAGCAGCTCTTGGCAGCTTATGCACTTCACGGAGTTGGGATGGTATGACCTTACCGTGCTGGTGTACCAAGACAACTCAACTTTATCGAATAGTATTTTTATGAAAAATTAGAAAAACGACGCCACATGGAACTGTCTTTCGATATAGGTATTAAGGGATTTTGAAAATTGAATAAACGTTGTAATTTAACGAAACAAGACACGGTGCGTAAATCGTTCCGTGTAGTTCACTTTGAAACATATCACTGTCATGCGATGCAATGTTTTTGTTGTTATGAATTTTCGTGCTATGTTGTTGTTGTTTGCAAGCTATAGTAGTTTCCCAGCTGTAAGATCGGATATATTAATTATATCTCTGCTAATGTTTGTTAGGGTTTTATACATAGCATAACACAAATAATTATTTATGAGCTGTAATGAATTTATTGCGCGTAACACTAATTTTCTAAGGGTTGCGCATACCTGTTATCAGCAAGAGAGTGCTTTGAATAATACTTAATAGTTGTACTTAAATGCATTTCAGAGATAAAATAGTGCGAAAAAGCAATGCAAAATAGCACAAAATAGAAGCGTTCGCTGTAGATATCAGTTGGCAATGAGTTAAATAAATAACGGCACATCTGTATTGACGTTGGTCAGTCAATTCATATGCTTATGATGCACAGCAACCTACGAGAAATCAATTCGGGCAAACATCGACGAAACAGTGAATTGTAGTTTTTAGTTATAGAGAAATTGTGAAAATAATTTTGATAACTTAACGATTAAACAGTTTACATAAATTCCATATTTTTAATTGTGTGTTTTTGTTGTGAGTCTTAAGTAAATAAATGCATTTACTCAATGTGATTTTAATGGCCATAGCTATGTTGCTGTGTGCCAGCAATTTGCAGGCCTACCGTTTCTTAGGCGTACTTCATAGCCGGATCAGATCGCATCACATCGTCGGCTCATCGTTATTCAAGGAGCTGGCGCGTAGGGGTCACCAGGTTACTGTCATTTCACCATTTCCAATAAAGAAGCCGCTGGAGAATTATATTTATATAGAAACATACAAATCGGCACAAATGGACTGTGAGTTTAGTGGCCACATTTAAATATATATGGATTGCTGTGTAAATAGAATTCATGACCGGGATTGTGTCATATAATATTTTCACTTAAAACAAGTATATAAGTATAGATTTTGGTACAAAATCAATTAAGTTTTGAATATTATAATAGACTTAGTCGTTCAATAATATAACAGACGAACAGTTGTGAAACATCACTCATTGAGACTTGTCATAGATAAGTTTCAGTAATCTAGTTATTTTTTCAATGACATACTTGTACTAGTACTGTTATTTCTAACCACCCATCCGACAAAGCACACGGTGGGTCTGCATTATTTGTTGTAAATACACTCAAATGCTAGAAAGTAAATAGCATTAACTTAATAAATATACAAAACGGCGCTCTTCAAATTAAAGGTATGCATATTTATATAACTACAGCAACAGTGTACCTGACTGAAACTATTTTTTCAAAAGCTAGATAAGCATTCATTGCAATTACGGACTATAACGGTTAGCATCCTTAATAGGTTTCCACACATAATTAACCCAAATTAACCCAAAAAGAAACGCGTCGAGTGGGAAAAAACCTTGAAAAATTATTACACAAAATACGGATAATGTTATATTAAAAAACTGGTTTGAATTCTCAATAGTATATTAGTGTTAAATACCTATCTCATAAATGTGCGAGACTTCTTACATTTTCCTACAATGCTCTACTCAGACACAACCTCTACCGAAGTCAATGGATATGCGCTAAATAACAATGTCTCCAAAAACCCAATAAACCAGAACCGCCTTTCTTCATACCATCCAATTAGTTAAAACTTCCTTTAATAATTCCTTTAAGAAGAATTTTGCCTATTTTAGAGAACTGAAATAACCGGTAACATGGAACCACTCCGCATTCTTTTGCATGCATGCAGCACTGCGCAAGGGATTTCTTAGATGTTGCGAAAGCACTCGATAAGGAATGGCATCCAGAATGAAACAATATTAAGTGAACATTAATTTTATATATATCTCATATCATATGAAAGTGTACTCTTAAACGAGCATTTTGGGCGCCGTACTAGAATATTTACAGCTAATCTATTACTAAAACACTGTCCAACCGTGAAAATTTAGCGGTAATAAATTTACTAGACAAAAGTTGGAATGTTAGACGCCTAATCAATTGTCATATTGTAGACTTTTCAAATAGATGCTAACATATGTAATTAATTTCATTTCTAGCAAATATATATAGTTAAGTCTATTTAGACATGCCCGTCTATCCGTTTGTCTGTATCTATAGTATATGCGAACTAGTCCTACAGTTTTTAAGATATCAATCTTACATGGGCGATTTACACACGCCCATTTCTCTGCAATCTCTTCGCCAGCTTATTTGTTGGAACTGCCGAACCACTATGCTATAGTTCTGGCATCATCACCAATTACACTGGTCTGCAAAAAAAAAATTTGTTTTCTCTTCTGGGTTTCATGCATGAATTCTTTATATTTTTGTGCTCTAAACACGGAATTCGACATCACAAATAAGTACCACACGTAGATTTTCCATAATTATTATTTAATTAAAAACAGAATTATTAAGGTATCAATTATTATTATAAGAAAATTAAAAAATATGACGGTCCAAGTTTACAGTGAAATCTTAAAGTATGATTTTATGATGATAAGATGAGTTATTTTGTAGTTTTTTTTCCTTTTCATTGTTTCCATTGGAGTCTCGGGGAAGGTGACCAACAGAAATCAGCAAGCATTGCTGCTGACCATTTCCCTTGTAGCGTTTTCAACTGCATTATATCTTGATGAACTTTCACCATGCCATCTGATACGGCTCCAAGATTTTCAGGAAAGAAATCCAAATGTGAGTCCAAAAAATGAATCTTGAGTGACATATGCATCGCTAAAAGATTTATAAGCAGAAGAAGCTCCCGAATGATTTGTCGGTAGTTGTCAACTTTGGTATTCCAAGAAAATTATGACACAACTTTCACAAACGCCACCCCAGCTCTTTTTTCTGTTTTGCTCAACTTCGATTCAAAAGCTTCATCTTTCATTAGCTCACGTATCTGCGGACCTACAAAAATCCCTTCCTTCATTTTGCGTCACTGATTCGAGAAATTTGGTTTTAAATATTGAAAACCTGCACCATCTTTATTCATCGCTTTCACAAAGTTTTTCATAAAGTCCAATTATGTGAACGTGGTGGCAGAAAATTTTCTCACTTGGGACTAAAGGTTTCTGAGATACAATTTTTTAAGCCCACGGAGTTAAACTTTTTCTCAGCAGGCCAAAGCTTTTTGTTTGTAATGTAATCTTGCGCGAACGTCCCATTCACAAGAAAAGCAAAAACTTTGTGTATCCTCCTTTAATCCAGTTAAGTATGGCGACGACTTTTTAAATCAGCACAAATATTCCATAGGTATTGAGAATATTGAATATTTTTCAAGTAATACTTCTAGGTTTGCATAATTTTCCTTCATTTTGTAAGCAATGTGCAACGGGTACAGAGGGTATTTTATTACCCATTATGGAGTAGAAGCGGCTTTTAATGCTTATTTCGAAGCATCAATAAAAAGTCTCCATTCACTTGAATCTCCTGGAAAACTCAGTTCTTCAAGAAGTCCTACAGCATCATTACAATATATCACATCATCTTCTTTGGAGAAGTAACTTGTAAAGTCTTCTTGCCTAGGGAACATAAACTTCATGCAAAACTTACCAAAATAATTGATATAGAGGTTATAGGTAACGGTGATCAGCATCAGGTGATGATGCTCTCAATATGTAATACAATTATTGAAGCTTATTATTGTATGTAAGAGAGATAGCAGTAGTGTAACTCTTAGGATAACATGTTAAAGTAGAATATAGGATAACTTTAACGCCTTAGTTGTACTAATATAAATGAACTTAATATTAACCTGTGAATGCATGAATGAAATAAATTTAAAGATATGTTTAATGTGGGTGTCGCCACATATACACGGCTTGTAACGTAGACACACAAAAAAGTGGAAAAAAACCCAAATTTTTGAAATATAAAAAAAAAATTCATATAAAAAAATCTAGACGTGATGGAGAAAATCGGCCAACGGGGATCGATTCAGGACATTTGAATCGTCATATTTATGACCAAATTTTTTAAAGGAGGATTTCATTGCAGACCAGTGTTATTTTACCAGCAAAGTATGATAATTAAAGCAGGGATAATCAGTAAAATGTTAGTCACTATCTTAAGTTTCCGAGTTTGATTGCTCACCAAATTTGGGACAACCGTCTTCTGGTAATATTGTTAATGTTACTGTTGTTGTAATGGTTATCTACTCCCGCTTGGATGGTAAGGTTCAGTTTGATTGTCTTCGAAATTATCTAACGGCAGGAAACGAGCTGTGTCGACGGGGTTGGAGCATACGGAGAAAGCTGTTAGATAATTGGTATTCGTAGAGCATGCAAAGAGGTGGTTAGTGTCATGCGAATACTCGTTCCATGCTCGACATATGTATATTTGGTACGTCGGAGTCGATTCTGTATAAGTAGGAGCTTAACCTGCTACAGTACCTTGCGCAAGGGCCACTCGGGATTCCCGTGGCAACTCGAGCTCTTCGTCTGCAATGGCAGGTAGTAAGACTCCAAGTACGCCTTTCACTGATAGGGAGCCGGTGAAGGTGTTAATGGCTTCACTGTGAATAGCGGTCAGTGCATGTCTGAAGATCGCTAACTTTCGTAAAAAGATTACTTATTTTCAGACAGAAAAAATTTATCCAGCATTATAAATTATTAAATATTGTCGAATTTTTTTAAGGTTAAAATAATTTTTGTTAATTCGAATTAATTTATTTTAACACTTTTAACAA